AATGGTTTGCTTGGGGACAAGCAAACGTCTAAGTGTGGGGGAGTGATTCGAGCCTAATTGTACATGTTTTACCCCAATTTTCCTTAGTCGTTTGTGGCAACTTCACTCCTAAAAGGTTGGTTTTACGCTAGGTTTCTTGTGTTTTAGTGTGTTTCAAGATTTAACAGGTGAAACCAGCATCGGAGTCGAAAGTTGGACGAAAAGGATCGAAAATTGGGAGAAGAGGTGAAAAAGGGTGAGGTCACGGTTTTCTTGGGCTGTTCACGGTCTTACATGACCGTGAAGAAGAGCCATTGACCTTGAACCTTGAGGCATCCAGAACCAAAATGCAAGTTACTGACACAAGACGTGTTCACGGTCACTAAGACCGTGAACAAGAGCTGTGGACCGTGAACACAAGGAAGCGAAGCGGTGCGTTTCGGCGCCCAATTGGAGTTCACGGACGCGTTTCACTGTCCACGGCCGTGAACTAGGGCCGTGAACACAACTCGTTCCTTGTTTAAAAGCTGAGCTGAAAGGAAGAGAGATGGGAGAGCCCATTGGGGTGAGAAAGCCTTCTTTTGATTTCCAGAGAGAGAAACACAAACCAAGGAAGAAGAAGGCTAGGTTTTTGCTCCAATGTGGATTTTGGGAAGATTTCCTCCAAGGAAAGTTCAACACAAGGGCCAAGAAGATTGGAAGCCTCCTCCAAGATGGTTTTTACCCCTTCTCCCTATGTTTCTCCCATCTATAGCATGGAGTAGAATCTTTTCACTTGGGTGTTGTGAAACTCTAACTCTACCATGTAGTTTTCTTTTATGTGAATTGAATGATTGTCATTGGGTATTGTTTAATCCAAATGTTTGAGGTATTATTCAACTTGATTGTGCATGTTTATGCTTAGCATCCTTAGGTTTGTGCATGTCTATGTTTAGCAACCTAAGGATTGTGCATGTTTATGCTTAGCAATCTAATTAGCCACTTAACCTAGTCTAAAGAGGGAAACCCCCTTCAAAGGGAGTCTCAATCGAGTTGGTATTCCTAGGGCTTTTCAAGTCTTTTAACTAGGTTAATTTAGGGCAAACCTCAATATTGGATTAAGCAATTTGGTTAAGCGCGATTAAGCCGACCAACCCTTGGGTTGAGTGAGGGAGTAAGTCAACCATTGATTGCCTAAACCGTGAGGTCCTAGTGGTAGCCTATAATGCATGCCTCGGTTTAGCAATCATGAGTGTGGTCTACGACCATATTTGCGTCCCCTAGCGGTTAACGATCACCTTGACCATACCAATCATTTCGGTCCACATACCATGGTAGTAGTTAGGGGGAAGCGACACCCAAGTGATCCTTCCACAAAAGAGCTTTCAAAACCATTTACCTTTGTTTTGTTTTACTTTAATTAGCAAACTTTTCAACCAATACCTTATTGCTAGATAATGATTCAAATGATTGAAGCAGGGGTAGGCGGACCGGCCCGGGTTGATATTTAAACATACTTATCCTGTACTGCACCCGACTGAGGTTTATACTTGGATCTTAGGCGGGAAGTTATTGTGGTATTCGGGATGAGTCACTCTTTCATTCTTGTTTTGTGGGGGTATGAATCTGGCTTGTAAATGTATTTGGGGTTACTGTACTACTTGAAAAACAATTGGAACTTGTTTAATGTAATGGATCATGTGTTTCTTGTCATAGTTTAGCACACATAATCATATAGAGATCAACACTTAAACATTAACCATTTTGAGTGAATGAACAACTAAAACATAGCAATCTGAACCACCAAATCTTAAATAAAGAACTGTGCATACACAACCATTTGTTCCTTACAGAACAAACATAAAATTTGAATAAGCTAGCAATATCGATTGCAAGACAACCTAAAATAGTACCCAATACATTACATTAGTCGAATTCAAGCTATCCTAACTGGAAGTTGAGAAAATGGGGTTGACAAAAGTTTGATCGACCATGTTCTGAAACATCTAAGGTTGAGTGACTGGTGGCTGGCTTCCCTGGACATCCACAACAATTGGATGGTTGTTCCCTACAGGACGCCCACTTGCTCCATTAAGTTGGAAAAAAACAAAGTATTCAAGTTGATAATCATTGTTAACAAAGTATTCAAGTACATAATACCAGATTATAGTTCAGCATCACACATTCACAGAACAACATGCTTTGGTAAATCCAAATTCCATAAATAAGTAATTTACTTTAGATATACCTGAATTCTAGCTCCTTGATTAAGGGGGTAAGTTCGAGCATTATGTTTACTCGAACCACACTTTGAGCAATGACCAACCCTTGTCCTTTTACCAGTGTTTGCCCCAGGCATGGAATAGAAAACCAGATCGTACCGACCGGTTCAACCAAAAACCAGACTAGTGGCGATACGGTACCCATCCTGCAGATAATTTACCGCGCCGGTCGGTTTTTCCAACGTAACCGACACGAACCAAAATATCGTCCGGTTCTGTTCCAATTGGCGGTAGGCTGATTCCGAAGAACTTCGTCGTTCATGCGACAAAATTAAAAAAAGATTCGTCCTTACTAACAACCCTAACCCTAATCGATTCTTCCTTCCCCATTGTTTCAATTCGGCCTGCCACTCCTCCTCTTCTCCAGAAAACACCGCTTCCTGCTTGCTCGAGAAGGAAGAGAACACCATATGCTCTTGAGAACGCACGCCGCCGCCGATTGATTGTTCTCCAGCCCAACCCTGCCTCCAATGATCGGCGAGAAGGCGAGCTTCAGAAACCGCCGCGCCGAGGCTCCTTCCTGTGCTCGACCTCCCCTGCCTCTAGCGACCGGCGAGAAGGACAGAGGACAAGTCTCCCACTCTCCCTCATGTATTTGACCTCCCCTGCCTCTGCCTCTGGCGACCTCCCCTCCTCGACACGCGAAATCAATTTTCCATCTCAGATACCATAAAATTTGGTTTTCAAATGAGGTAAATAGAAATAACGTGCTTTTGCTTTCCTCGTGTGTCCATAGTTCCGTAGGTTTGACTCACCCTTCTATTTTATGAGGGTATTGTATTTGCTTGTACATCATGAACCAACATAGAGGAGTGAATTGGCAATTGTTGCTTTTTTATTGAAATTAGATAAATGAGCTTCCCATTATCATCTTGGGGGTGCAAAAGCTCGACAAATTGTGCGATAATGAATAATGTTTGGTGACTTTATACTTGGTATCTCTATTCTTATTAGAATTTCAATTTTGGATGTTTTGGCAGCAATGGCCAGTGGAGAAGAAGCCCGATCGGTTGATTAAGGAGAAACCCCTAGTAATCCAAAGATTCGTTATATTACCTATGCCTATTTACTATTTAGTTTATTCAGGTTTGTTATCCGGTATATTCTGGTTTTATATCGGTCTTACTCCGAAATGGTATCCTGAATCTTCCAGTATGGTCTTTTAACAACAAAATATTATTTAATTACAAAACGGTATTTTACCGGTAAACAACGGTTAAACCACGGTCGTACCACAAAATAGCTTACCACAGACCAATCTGGTATGACATCTGGTACGATTTCCTGAACCATGGCCCCAGGTTGATCTGTAACATGCTCAACTCTAGGTCTGAAAGCACTTCCTCTAGGTCTAGAGGTGCTTCTCTGTCAATAGCTTGTAACTTGTAAGTGGTTAGTTCTAGAGTTAGTAATAGTGTAATAAGCAACTTAAATCAATAAAATTGAACTCTAGGAAAGTATAACTCACTGGTGCTTGGGCAACAGATGGATGTTTGCATCCTCTGGTATTATGGACCTCTCCACCACCCTTAGAGCAATGGATTATAGTCTCCCTTCCTTGACACTTCTTCACCTACCCCGGTTGCTTGAGGTCGAACCTCAAACTCGCGAGCAACCTTTCTTCTATTTTTTTTGGCCTTCCTGGCATTCTTCTATTCTTTGGAGGGAGTACTTGGTAACCTAATCCTTCTGACCACGATTGTCTTCCATCCAAACAAGGGATCCCAACCTTGTATGCATTGACAACCTCACGACAATGGTAGGCTGGATGGACGTAGTCATCAACCTCTTTCCTCAAGTGAGTTTTACCGAGACAGCATGGCAACATGGGAGTCCACTTAGGGCCCAGTAGCCACATGTACAAGTCTTTGTCTGGAGGTGAACAATGTACCCCGTTTCCCCCATCCTTACCTCGCACTTATCATCCAAAGTCTGCCTAGAGGTACACAACCTAGCTAGGGCCTTTCATTTCTCAATTCTTTTCCTAATTCTAGGGCACAGATCATCATCACAATCAACTAATATTTTGTGCTTAATGACAATCCTTTCCATCATATAACCCCAGATACCCTCAAGAATATCTATGATTCTCATGCCCCTAAACTTAATAATAGATCCATTCCACGTTTCACAAATGTTACTCTCCACTGAGTCACATTTAGGAACAGGAGATAGGAAAGATCGGCAAAAGAATCTATGTTCAGCATTCATGAAGTCTTATAGGGTGTATTAAGTGTGTGGTTGAGCCTCCAAAACAAACTTCCCATGGCGATCCCTCTTCATAATCTCAGCCACATAATTTATGATGTTCTGAAACTCACCCTTCAAAGACCCACTCAGCATTCGAATCGCAGACACCTTTGATCTATAACGGATTCTCTTATCCACTTCCATGTTGTGTTTCAGCTTAACTTCTGCCATGATCTGATCTGGAGCCCACTGTGGATTGATGAGAAACCTCTCAAGCATATAAGATGCAATCCAATTTGAAGTAACTTGATTGAACCGCAACTTACGTGAACAAGAATGGTGTAGACCTACCTTCCTCACCATGAAACTCTAGTTCTTCCTAAACCAGCTAGCTAACACCCTCCATTTACATATAGTGTCCTTGCATTTTACTACTTTTCTTGATGGGGTACTCCTAACCCATCTCAAGCTAGCACCAACTGCCACAAAATGTAAGACAACAACACACTTGAACTGTTCAAGACTTTCAAAATTCAACCTTGGAATAAACTGAAACTGCTTGTGATCACATTATGGATCATAGTGTGGAGCATCCCCAAATGGCTCTCCCCCATCCTCATTCGAAAGATTTCCTCTAACATGGTCCGAGTCCTCTGATAGTCTGTAGCTAGAGTGTTGAGTGTCCTCTCTTCTGGGTTCTTGAACTTGAGGTGATCCATCATCTTCATCCTCTTTCTCTAGTCGACCATTCACATTTACTTGATCAGGCTCGGGTATGGCATTCACGTTTTCTTCCAATTCATCACCATTGCCATCTTCCACTGCAACCTCATTGTCTATTTCATCCTCAGATGCATCTTTTTCAAACTTGTCTAGTTTTTCAACCTCCTCCCCGATAACCATCTCTCCTTTCCTTCACCTTCCTCCTTCTCATTTCCCCATAGGCTCGTAGATTGGCTCGAGCCTCATGGTACTCATCATCAGACTTGTCTGCATCGTCAGTACCATAAACATGGAATACTTCTCGTGCCATAAAAGCAGCTTCATCTTCATGAGCAAAGCTAGCATTCTCTTCTCCCAAGTGATTAGGATCATTCTCACCAGCTTGCTCATCAAATGAATCAGCCATCTAAACCCTAAGCATCAACAGTTTTTAATTCACTAACAAACAAACGAAGAGAACAGTCTTCCACCATCATTCTATGCTAGGATTTTGACAAACAAAGGTGGCAATGACTCTTCTACCCAGGAATTGGAGGCAGTCACCGTAAAATTGTGCGACAAAATTGCGAAAAGCACAAATTCAATATGAAGTGGTCCCTTTTCAAATATGCAGAGTCGCTTCCCTTCCTTTACAGCAAGCCACAACTACAAAAAGATACAAAAAAGGAGGTAAGAAGCAGCCTATAAGTACATCATACCCAGAATCGAAACCCCCAACCTTTCCCTTGAGAACTCACCAATCGCGTCAGAATTGTCCCTCCAAAAATCGCAATTCTACTGTTAAATTTGGGTTTTGGAGAATCGGTGAAACACGAATTTCCTTCCTCCTTCCTCGATGCTTTCTTCATTATTAGATGCTTGAGTTTTGTCGTGAAACAGTGACCATCGGTTTATTAGGCCGGATGCATGCCAGAGTTCGTCATTGGAAGGGAGGCGATGAGTCGGGAGATTATTTTCGATGACGATTTCAGGGTTAGGATGGAGATTTATAGAGGGTCAGGGCGTCGGTCGGAAGAGGGAAGGTGGTTATCGGAAGTAGATCGGAAAAATGGGACAGACTGAATGCTCGTCGTCCGTCGTCGTGGTCGGAGGACGAGAGACGAAGGGGAAAGAAGAACGAAGAAAGAAGAAAGGAAGGACGAGTGGTGGTCAGCTGGGTGGGTCACTTTCTTCTTTTGTTTTTCTTTTTCATTTTTTTTAATTTCCATGTCAGACAGTGGGGTAAATAACTCACCAACTCAGCGTTTTCCGTTAATCCAGTCATAACGTCAACTTCCGCCGTTAACAAAATGGACGGAATTGGCTATTTTGCGTTTTCGAATAGTTATGGCTATATTTGTCACGAACGCGAAAGTTATAACTATACAAGTGTATTTTGTCTAAATTAAATAGTGATCCTTTGTTGACCTGATAGCGAGAAGGCTAGGTGCGACTTACTGTGTCATTTTACTCGCCACCGTGGTAGGATTGGTATTTTACTCCCCACTGTGGTAGAATTGGTAGAAGCAACAATAGTAAATTAAGACTTGCTTGTTAGATTTGAAAAATGAGGATTTTGGTTAAAAAAATCTTTGAATTTATTAGGGATTTGTTTCGCTATGGATTTGAAGAGTCTATTATTTGTATGATAGATTTGATTATATAATTACAATGGATTTGTTATAAATATAAGGGTTAATACCCTAGTTTTGTATGAAGTTTAGCGTATGTGACAGTCCTGGCTCCATTTTTCAAATAAGACATTTATGGCCTACTTTTGAAATTATTGAATAGATTTGGCCCGAAACTTGTGTTGACTGTTAAAACTGATAGTCGATATTTTTTCCATCAATGACTCAGCATTCAGTGCTAAAGTGGCAGTGATGTGGTATGCCACGTCATTATATATTTTTTAATTTATTTTTGTAATTAAATTAAAATTAAAAATTAAAAAATCCCCTCTTCTTATCCAAAATCCCAAATTCCCCAAATCCAAACCCTAATCTTTATCAACATCAGCTTCAATTCCTTCTGCAGCGCCGTCGTCACTTCACCTGCCACCGCCAACCCACCAAGGCATGGGCTCTACGCCACCTGCCTCCGCTAGCGCCTTGCAGGGATCGACCCGGACATCCACCAGGAGACCCCCATTACCCACCTCGTCCTCGAGCTCCGCCGCTCCAAATCCTTCTCCAGCAGCTCAAATGCCTCCTTCTCCACCACTTCCACCTCTGCCACCACCAACACTACAATCTTCGAGCCACGCTGCCGCTCGAGGTCCGGCGCTGAAACACACTCGTCGAGCTCTTCTACCACGACGACGAAAGACCAGCCATCGAGTCGTACGCCAAGGTCGTCGTCGCCGAGCTCAAGATGCTAGGAGGAGGAGATGGGGACGTGGACGGGGATGGAGAGATATTTTTGGCGAGAATGAGATTGTTCCGCCAGATCTGGAGTACGACTACGAGGAGGAAGAAGGGTAGTTACAATGGGAAGAGCTTCTCGGAAGCGGCTTCGATTTTCAGCAAGAAATCGAGGAATTGGCAGCAGAAGAAGAAGAAGAAGAAGAAGAAGAATAATAATAATGAAAAGATGTGTTTAGTGACGGCTCCGGTGTTCGAACGAGAAGGAGTCCATCGAGAAGTGCGATGGGTTTCGTGGCTGGGTGGGAAAAAAGGAGAGAGAAGTCAAATGATTTCCTTTTTATTTAATATTTTCAATATTTTTGGTTTTAATTAATAAAGAAAATTATGTGGATGCCACCTCAGCATTTTTGTTGAGTCACTAATGGGAAAAAATATTGACCGTCAGTTTTAGCAGTCAACATAAGTTTTGGGCCAAATCTGTCCAATAATTTCAAAAATAGGCCATAAATGTCTTATTTAAAAAATGGGTCCAGAACTGTCACTTAAGCTAAACTTCTGGCCAAACTAGGGTATTAACCCTAAATATTACTAGCCATCAAGGATTTACAAATCCCACCCCAATATGTGAGATTTACAAGTATGTGGAGTCCACATATTTGGATCCAAAAAAAGGAACAAATTTGTGGACCCCACGGATTTAACACCTAACAACACACAATGGACTTTGCTAAAATCCATCATGTTTGGAATTTGAGTCCCAAATCCATCAAGCAAACGACCCTAAATAAATAAAAATAAAGTACATTTCTCTTTTTTATTGGCTAGTGTTTTCAATTCTATGGGTCATTTTGATTGATTATTGTGGGATGTTATTTGGGGTCAAATTACATGTATGGTTGACAAAAAATGGGATGTGTTATTTGGATGTGGTGTTTTGCCAAATAACAGGTTTGAGAGGAAATAACTCAAAAAGTGTTGTTTGCCAAATACTAGGGAGGGGCAGGTATTCACTAAATAACAGGTTTGAGACCAAATATCACATAACAAATAACAAGTTTTTATATTATGTGGTATTTGTGTGGTAATGTCCCAAATAACTAGTTTGACAAATACTCAATCCAAACGACCCCTATAAATTTAGGATATTGAAACTGAACCAAATTTTTAATCCAAGTGCAATGGGTTTACTGCTGCACCAGTATAACCACTAAACTAGTCACAATAATTGTTTGGTTCATTTAATTGCACGGGTAGGAATGAAACGAATGGATTTAACGATTTGACATAAAATATGATGAAGCACCTCAATTTACTGGTCAATTGGTTCACTATTTTGACAACATACAATTAAGATTAAAACTTTAATGTAAATTAAGATTATCCAACCTCAAATGTTTATGCTTACTTTTCTTCATTTCTCAGTATCTTTATCGGCTTTCTGTGCTCTACTACGGATTTCCACTCTCAATAATAACTTGAATTTGATAAAAAATTAATTTCTTTTATGTGATAGTTTGGATGCTTTGTTATAAATTTTTGGTGAGATGATATGAATTTTAAATTGTCATTGGTTAGTGATAAATTCACTCATAAATTAGTGTCATATGTAGCCACTGAACCAATCTAGTAAACAGATAGAGAAACATAGTTTTCTTTCCGCAGTGGATGTTTTTCCCTACTTCGCGGAGTGTCCTTTTGTCTTCCTTTCTGAGGGAGTTTTATAATATTCTAGTCTCGGTGGACTAGTGTGGATCTTCACCTGTGGTGTCCATGTTTACTTATTTCTTTCATCTGGCTCCATTAACTGTTGTCCCTGTAGTCTGGTGTTGTGTCACCCTTCCACCTTCATCCTCCTGCTTTCTCTTCTATCCTGCCAAGCTAACCATGAGAATCATCAACTATAATTGAAGAGGTTTATGTGATCCAAGGGCTGTCACCAGGCTCAAGCAGCTCGTTGGACAACATTCACCTCAGATTTTGTTCCTCATTGAGACTAAACTCAGTGACGAAGAGAGGAAAGAAGTGCAAAATGAGTTAGTATTCGACCAAGAGATGCATTTCGCAGCAAGAGATCGTGCTGGGGGCCTTGGCCTTCTTTGTAATGAAGACATTTCTATTACAAAACTTTCAATTTCATTTTATCACATCGACGTTATAGTCACATACACAGAAGAGGGACCACCTTGGAGGCTGACTGGGTTTTATGGGAAACCATATCAAAGTGAAAGACATCTATCGTGGGATCTTCTGAAAATCTTGAAGGAGAATAACAATCTACCTTGGGTATGTGATAACTCCCTCGTAGGGTGTTTGGTTTCCAAACTCGGGTTGATCAAATCAATCTCTGCAAATCGTCCAAAGTTCACGAGTTGCCTTTGTCGAATGAACGGAAAATATGGAACTCAATGTGCGATCCTACACCTTGAGGAAGGATCAACGAGTATACGTCGATGTTCGCCCACGACCAATGTGATTTTGATCGATTCAAGAGCTCAATCAAGTTTGGTTTTCTCGGCCAAACTCTCAACCAAAAACTAGCTACAAAAACTTAGTTTTTAGAGTTTTAATCCCATTCAATGATCAAATCCTGATTACAATCCCTTCGTAGTTCTTAAATAGAACTTACAAATAACGTAAAACACAAAGGAAACTCGAAACAAACAAGGAAAGCGGAAACAGTCTTAATCCTAATGCAACACAAAAAAAAAAACTTGAAACACAAGTAATAAACAGTATTCATGCCATCTTCAAGGCTCTTGTTCGAAGAATTTGTTGATTCGATCACCCAACCCCTTTTTTATTTAGTAAAACCTTGAAACCTGATTCCCAGCCAATTGTCGTGAAATGAACGCCAAAGTTGCCTTCCCGAAATTGTCTCATGCCTTAGCCAAATCCTGACAGCTTTCCTATGTTGGTATAGAGTTTTGGTTAGCTTGAAAGTCGAACTTCCCAGCCTTGTCTCGTGCTCCAAGACACTCCAAGTTGTAAAGGAACTTACCAGCTTCAAAACAAACCCTCCAAATCCCATTTTCATCAAGCCAAACGAAAGAACCAGACTTACAAAGTGAGCTACCCGAGACAACTTTAATAGTTAGCCAAAAATCCAAGTTCTTCCAATGAGTTGAGTTGGCTTCTTGACCAAGTAATTCCCACTTTTAATCCAATTGGGATCATATCATGACATCCCTCTTCAAAAAGCTTTGTCCTCAAAGCTGGTTCTTTACTCTTCTCCGAATAGGCACAGACTTGACCATAAATGGGATCGACAGACAGCTGCTCTGCCGACATTTTCTGGAAAATGAGGTCACTTTTCTTCAACCTCGAAATTGGGGATTCTTGATTCAGGCTTCTCCAATCCAATTCACTGCCTCCACAGACTTCGCTCGACCTCCAATTGATCTTCTGAATTTTTTCCATCCCTCGACGCAACACCATCATCATTGAATCGACATCTTCCATTTCCTGCCAACTGCCAATTTCAAAAATTCGGAGCCCAGAACAACAGAATTCTATTTGAGCGTTTCTTCCTTAATGATCAGCGACCACAATTGATTAGCCTCGATGATTCCGCATCAGCCGTTTTGGTCGATTCACCTCCAGACTTTCCAACCCATTCAAGCGCATTCTGCTCGTGTGTGAGCTCCAGCAGAGGAGTTTGAGCGCGAATGCGATCCTGCAAAACAAAAGAAATTGACTCCAATTGATCAGGGGAAATGCTTCCCTGGGTTTGAGGGAACGCGCCGGGCTTCTTGGATTGAGTTGGATTGCTCCCAAGAGCTCCACCCAATAGACCCTCTCTCCTGTCCTGCCTTGGCGTTGCAGGAAAACAGGCGTTGTTCGTGGAGCTTGGTCGTCGAAGTGGCTGGCAATTTAGGGCCGTCAGCATGAGATGATCCATCAATAAGCCCGCCTTCTTCCTTCCCGTACTTTTCTCGTCACCATACGTGGCCTGATTCGCGACCAGTTGACATTGATCGGCGTGAACCTCTGTCGGGAAAGCGATTTCAGAACAATCTTCTTCCCTCTGAGATTGAACTTATAACAGTTCGTGCCTCTATCGTGAGTCACCACGTGGTCAAATTGCCATGGACCGGCTTGCATCAGCGTGATTTCACACTGAATTTCGTCTCGATAGCTACCGATTGCAAACGCGACCCGAGCTTGTTTCATTACCCTCAGTGACCCGCGGTCATTGAGCCAATGTAGGTGATACGAGTCAGGGTGTTTGCTTGTAGCTAGTCCCAACTTCTTGATGGCTTCGAGACTGACAACATTCATGCAGCTACTTCCGTCAACAACCATCAAAAAATAATGGCCATCGACTAAACACCTCGTATGAAATAAGTTGGTGCGATCTTCTTCTTCTGCCTCGGATTCCAAAGTCAAAGCTCTGAGATTCATCCCACACAGAAAGGGGCCCTTTTCAGCCTCAATTTCTTCATTAAGGTCTTCGTCAGAGTCGTCAAGCACCTTCTTATGGATGTCTTCGTTGTCCGAGACGTACTCGCCATCTTGCAAAATCAATGCTTTAATATTTGGGAAATGATTGGCCTTATGGCCTCAACCATGACACTTGAAACACTAGATCGAGCCACTGGAGCCCCCTGCGCATTCTGGATTCCGAGCATTCCGTGGCGCGAATTTGGGCATCTCTGGTTTGTGATGGGGAGTGGTAACCTCAACATTATTTTCAACAGCAGGTTTATGCCCTGCAAACCTCCTTCTCGAAGAGGCCCTTTGCTGATTCTCGATCTTTACAGCGAGGTGCACAGCTTCCTCTAAATCAACAAACGATCTTAACTCAACCTCCTGACGAATTTCATGACCTAAACCGTGAAGAAATCGAGCGATTGTAGCTTCATTGTCCTCCCTAACGTCAGCTCGCAGCAACAATAACTCCAATTCACGAAAATATTTTTCAATGCTTCTCGATCCCTGTCTGATTCCTAGTAGCAACTCGTGCAGTTCACGTAGGTAATACGCAAGGACAAACTTCTCCCTCATCAGCCCACGTAATTCATCCCATGTAGCCACAGGAGGTTGTCGATTCCGTCGTCGACGAAGTTGCAATTGCTCCCACCATTGAGCTGCATAGTCCAAGAATTTGTATGTAATCATGGCTAACTTTTGTGGCTCGCTGAATTGGCCACACTGGAAGAAAATGATGGCCTTCCGCTCCTAATCTAGGTATGGAGAAGCACTCAACGTTCACTGAAGGCCGGAATTGTCAGCTTGATGCCTTGAGGAATTCCTGGCTCTGTTTCCAGCTTTCCATCTCTTAGTTCGTGATGATCACGGAAGCGACATTCATGGTCGTGATAAGCCACCACCAGCCTCTATTCGAGCTCTTGGACCCTCGCCAATAGTTCCTTATTTGCCTCGCCGGTCTGCTCCTCCAGTTGAGTTTGGTGGTTTCCGCCATGCTCTGTAAAAGGTCTCGACGGAACAGGGGCATAGACTGTCGTCCTCAATTCGGCCAGTTGTCTCTGGATTTGGTCGAATTGAGTCTGGAACGTTGCCACAATTGATTGCAGCAGCTCCGAATTGATGATGGTTTTTTCAGCCATCGCTTGATCTTCAAATTGAGTCGCCGCTGTGGACTCAAACGTGCTCTCTGCTTCGGTACGTCGAACGACAGGATCAATGTCGACATGACCCTTCAACCTTGTCCAAGGGGTAGTCCTGACCATGATTTCTGTTGTTCGGACCACTGTGTTTGAACCTAAGGCTCTGATGTAACTTGATAACTCCCTCGTAGGGTGTTTGCTTTCCAAAATCGAGCTGATAAAATCAATCTCTGTAAATCATCCAAACTTCACAAGTTGCCTTTGTCGAATGAAAGTAAAATATGGAACTCAATGTGCAATCCTACACCTGGAGGATGACTCAACGAGTATACGTTGATGCTCGCCCACGATCAATGCGATTTTGATCGATACAAGAGCTCAATTGAGCTTGATTTTCTCGGCCAAACTCTCAACCAAAAACTCGCTACGAAAACTTAGTTTTTAGGGTTTTAATCTCGTTCAATGATCAAATCATTATTACAATCCCTTCGTAGATTTTAAATAGAACTTACAAACAACCTATAACACAAAAGAAACTCGAAATAAACAAGGAAAGAGAAAATAGTCCTAATCCTAATGCAACACGGAAAACTTGAAACGCAAGTAATAAATAGTCTTGATGCCATCTTCAAGGCCCTTATTCGAAGCCTTCCAGTTGTTGATTCGATCACCCAAACCCGTGTTTCTGTAGTAGAAAGTACAAGCTTTCATGTGGTATAAACCTTGAAACATGATTCCCAGCCAATCGTCGTGGATTGAACGCCAAAGTTGTTTTCCCGAAACTGTCCCATGCCTTAGCCAAATCTTGGCAGCTTTCCTGTGTTGGTATAGAGTTTTGGTGAGCTTGAAAGTCAAACTTCCCAGCCTTGCCTCGAGATTCTAGACACTTCAAGTTGTAAAGGAACTTACCAGCTTCAAAACAAACCCTCCAAATCCCATTTTCATCAAGCCAAACAAAAGAACCATACTTACAAAGTGAGCTACCCGAGACAGCTTCAATACTTAGCCAAAAATCCATGTTCTTCCAATAAGTTGAGTTGGATTATTGACCAAGCAATTCCCACTTGTAGATTGATCCAATTGGGATCATATCAGTATGTCTCGGAGATTTCAATCAAATACTCTCGGGAACAGATAAAAGTGGTGGAAGAGCTATTGATGACACCATGGTCGAACCGTTCAGAGAAGCTCTTGAATATTGTGGGCTTCTGGAATATGGGTTTGAAGGATACCCTTTTACTTGGGAAAACAAAAGGATTGAAGGTCAATACATTGAAGAAAGAATTGGCAGGTGCATGGCTACTCTGAAATGGAAGAGATACTTTAATTCATACAAGATTACTCACATTGAGTGGGAGGGATCTGATCACTACCCTATTATGATGGATACTATGGGACCAGAAGATTAAGAAATCAAATGGGGATGGTATTTTAAGGTCGAATCTTTATGGCTGAATGATGATGAAAGCAAGCAAGTTATAGAACAAGCATGGCATGAGGGGAGAGATAAGCATATAGTAAACTTGTTGAGAGATTGTGAACAAATATTGACACGTCAGAGCAAGGATAAATTTGGGAATGTTAGGAAGAGATTGAACAAAATTGAGAAAGACCTCAAAATATTGAAGTGATTTCCAAAAACGGAAGCAATGCTAACCCAAAGAAGAAAGGTCTAATACACTTGTATATCCAAAACTTTCACGATTGTGCCAATAATATCCAAATTTCCCGAAATACCACTTATATCCATGTTTTAAAGTTGTTCTTTGCCAAATCTATCCATTTCCCAATATATTTTTGGTTAAATACAATTGTATATCCAAAAACACCGTTAAAGAATGTGAAGGAATTGGCTATAAGTGGTATTTCGGGAAATTTGGATATTATTGGCACAACCGTGAAAGTTTTGGATATACAAGTGTATGTAACCAAGAAGAAATATGCTTGCCGAAAAAACGACCTGCTATGGAAAGAGGAATGTAAGTGGAAACATAGGTCCCGTGTGGATTGGATGAAAGGCTGAGATAAGAACACAACGTTTTTTTCATGCTAAAGCATATGCAAGAAGGAAAAGGAACACTATTAAGAGACTAAGTGATGCTGATGGACTCTTTATAAGGGTCAGGAAGAAGTTATGTGGTGTGTGAACCAACATTTTCAGGAGCTCTTTATTAAAGGAGCACAATCTGTAACTAATAGAGTAATTGAGGCAATTCAAGAGAAAGTCACTGAGGATATGAATAGTAGTATTCTAGCCCCATTCACAGCCACACAAATTGGAAGAGCTCTATTCCAGATGGATCTAACAAAAGTGTTGGGATTTGATGGTTTTCCAACAGGTTTCTTTAAGAATAATTGAGATGTTATAGGACCTAAAATCACCAATTCCATCCTAGGTTTTCTAGAATCAGGAGTCCTACCACATGAGCTCAACCATACACTTATTGTTCTAATTCCTAAGGTTAAAAAACCACTAGAACCGAAGGATTTTAGACCGATAAGCTTATGTAAAGTTTTGTACAAGTTGATATCAAAGGTATTAGCTAACAAACTCAAAGTGATTCTGTAGGGTATCATTTCTGAGGCACAAAGTGCTTTTGTGCCTGACTAGCGATCACAGATAATATTATAGTAGCATTTGAATGTTTCAACCACATGAAGAAGTGTTGTAACATTAAGAAGGGTTTCTTTGCTGCAAAACTGGATATGGCGAAAGCATACGATAAAGTCGATCGGGGTTTTCTGTAGAAAGCTACGAGGAAAATGGGTTTACACGACGAAGTTGTGTTACACGACGGTCTCCTACTTGATACTTGTTAATGGACACAGACCTATGGACTTCACTCCTTCTAGGGGACTTAGGCAGGGGGGCCCTTTACCCCTACATGTTTCTCATTTGTGTTGAAGGCTTTTCGGCTTTGTTGAAGAAGGAAGAAGAGGAAAACCACATTCATGGTATCATAATTAGCAAACGAGCCCCACAAATTTCTCATCTCCTCTTCGCCGATGACAATATTGTCTTTGCTAGGTCATCAAGGGAGGAAGGTGAAAAGCTTAAACAAATACTGAGAGTTTATGAGGATGAATAAGGGAAGCAGATAAATCTTGCCAAATCTGAGCTATCTTTCAGCAAAAAAGTCTATGGAAATAGAAGACAGGAGATAAGTAATATACTTGTAATACGGGAGGTGGATAAACATGAATAATATCTAGGATTAACAACCATGATTGGTAGATCAAAGAAGGTTATATTTGCGGAGTTTAAGGAAAGGGTTAGATGCAAACTAAAAGATTGGAAGTCGAGAACCTTGTCTCCAGCAGGTAAGGAAGTCCCTATAAAGTCTGTTGCTCAGGCTTAGGTTATCTATCCTATGATGGTCTTCCAAATCTCAGAAGGAACCTTGCATGAAATTCTGGGTCTCATCTCTAGCTTTTGGTGGGGAGGTAAAGGTGAGAAGAATCTTACCCATTGGTTAAAGTCAGATAAGCTTTGTGATGAAAAGAAGAAATTAGGATTAGGATTTAAAGATCTTAAGGCTTTCAACAAAGCCATGCTTGCTAAACAGGTATGGAGAATTATGAAAAACCTTCTTCTCTTGTGGTCAGAGCCTTGAAAGCAATATATTTTCCAAACTCATATATTCTACAGGCCAGAGTTGGAGCTAATGCCAGTTTTGTATGGAGGAGTCTTATGGCTAGAAAGTTGCTTGAAGAAGGACTCAGATGGAGGGTGGGAGATGGGAAGGAAATATGTTTCTGGGAAAATAAATGTATTCCAGATAAGGATAGCTTCTCCCCATATTTTACCCTGGTGTAGAGTGACCCCAACCTTAAAGTCTCTGCTCTTATCAATAGGGATAACTGTTCAAGGAATTCTGATTTGATTAAATACATTTTTCCAAAGGAGGACCAGAATTGTATCTCCAAGATTCCCCTAAGAACCCCACACATGCAGGATGAAAGGATTTGGACCCTTGATCCTAGGGGTGAGTATACTATAAAAACAGGTTACAGTCTCTACAAAGAGACCTACCAAAATAGAAATAACCGAGAGCTACCAATCCAACCCTTTCTCGATTATGGGGAAAGATTTGGAAATTTAGAATTCAACCTAAATTCAAGCATTTTCTATGGAGAGCGAGCTGAAATGCCATACCTGTCGGAATTCGTGTGGAGAAAAAGTCTAAGAAAGCAGGTTCTAAGTGCTCGTTCGGTGGATTGATTGAGACCCCAGAACATGCCCTCCGTAATTGCAACTGGGTTAGATAATCAGGATTTGGAGAAAAAGCCTTGAAAGGGATTGTTTTAAGAGCGGTGATGGACTCAGCTGCGCAGATTGGCTCGGCTCTGTGGAAAATTTTCCAGAAACAAAATTGCAAAAATTTAGTGCTATCTTATGATTTTTATGGAGAGAACGATGCAACCGTGCTTTTGATTCGGGGCTAATTGTACACATTTTACCCCTCATTTTTTATAGTTTGACTTTGTATTTCATCGTCCCTCGACATATTTTATGCTAGGTTGTGCTTGATTTGTTATATTTCAGGTCCTAGCACGTGTAGAATGGTCGAAGACGAGTTTCAGTACGATTGGAGTCGAAAATGCGCCAAAAAGTGAAGAAAAGTCCAAAGGCGACCGTGAAAATTGCCTCGAGACCGTGAGACGTAGAGTTCCAGAACAATTGTGCGTCTCACTGGAGTCCAGCGGTCACTCGACCGTGAACTCCATCCCCAGATCATGAAATGACTTAGTGAAACGGTGCGAATCTACTCCACTTCACGGTCTAGGATGACTGTTCATGGCCATGAACTGGGATGGTGAACAGGCGTCGATTTGGGTATAAAAGGGGAAGTGAGCTGAAAGAGAAAAGGGAGCTTTTGGTAGGTTTTTAGTTTTCAGAATAAAAGAGAGTTTCTAGTGAGAGATTAGGGTTTCCACTTCCTATTTTAGAGAGAGAAAGTGTCATTCAAAAGAGGAAGAAGGAGATTTGGGCTTGTCCTAAGCTAGAGGAGTGAAGATTCTTACCTCTCAAAGGAGATTCAAGCAACAAGGAAGGAAGATTTCCATATTTTCATGGTTGTTTCTCTCCTTTTTCTTGTTTTCCCTTGCCTAGATATGGAATA